ATTCAAAGAAACCAGACTATCCACAACAATCCTGAAAAACAACAAAACTGGAAGACTTACACTTCCTGATTTCAAAACTTAGTACAAAGCCACAGCAATCAAAACAGGATGGTACCAGCATAAAAAGGGACAAATAAGACCAATGGAATAGAAAAAAAGAGTCCAGAAATAAACACTCACACATCTTGTCAAATGATTTTTGACAAGGCTGTCAAGACCACTCAATGCGAAAATGACATCTTTTTATCAAATGGCACTAGAAAAACTGGATAGCCACATGTAAAAGAATAAAGTTGGACCCTTAACCTAACACCATAGACAAAAATCAACTCACATCAAGTACCTAAATTTAAGTTCTAAAACAATAAAACTTAGAAGAAAACATAGTACAAAAGACACACAACACCGATTTGGCAATGACTTCCTGGATATGACATCAAAGGCATGGGTAACAAAGAAGAAACGGACACACTTGTCATGAAAATTGTAATGTTCACATCAAAAGATACTATCCACAGAATTAAAAGTTAATCGACAGAACAGGAGAAAATATTTATAATTCATATATCTGATAAGAGATTATTATCCAGAATATAAAGAGAACTCCTAAAATTCAGCAACAACAAAAAAAACCCCAAACAACCTAATGCAAAATTGGGCAATGGACTTGAACAGATATTTCTCCAATGAGGATATACAAATGGCCAATAAACACAAGAAAATATAGTAAACATCATGAATCATTAAGGAAATACAAGACAAAGGTACAGTAAGATCCCACCTGACACCCATTAAGATTGCTACTACCAAAAAAAGAAAAAGCAACTGTTGGCAAGGATGGAGAGGAAATGGAACTCCCATGCTCTGCTGCTGACAGTGTAAAGCGGTACAACCATTGTAAAAACGGGATGGCGCTTCCTCAAAATTAAAACTAGAATTACCTTACGGCCCAGCAATTTTCCTTCGAGGTATATACCCAAGAGTAGGTCTCAACCACACGTCTCAACCACTCGTGTTCACGGCAGCATCATTATTCACAATAGTGGAAACATGGAAGCAACTCAAGTGTCCATGGACAGGTGAATGGACAAGCATAATGTGCATATACGTACAATGGGATATTACTCAGCCTTAAAAATGGAAAAAACCCTGCAATACGCTACAACATGGATGAATCTTGAGGACGTAACACTAAGCGAAATAAGCCAGTCACAAAAGGACAAAGACTACAGGATTTCACTAATACGAGGTACTCAGGGTAGTCAAAATTATAGAAACAGGAAGTTTTAACAGTGGTTTCCAGCACCTAGAGATAGGGGAGATTGGGGAGTTATTGTTTAATAGGTATAGAATTTCAGTTTTACAAGATGAAAAGAGTATGGGGATGGATGGTAGTGACAGACACACAACAACATGAATGTATTTAATACCACTTAAGTGTACACTTAAAAGTGTTTAAGATGGTAAATTTTATGTTATTTGTATTTTGCCACAAAAAAGAAAAAAAGTAATAATGTACTGACATGTACTAAACAGGGACACAGCCTGGAAACATGCTAAGTGAAAGAAGCCAGACACAAATGGCCATATGCTGATTGACTCCACTCGTAATAAATATTCACAACAGATCAACCCGTAGAGACACAACACAAATTGTCGGTTGCCAGGGGTTGGGTGAATAGAAGAACGGGGAGAAACTTATTAACGAGTAAAGGGCTTTATTTAGAATGATGGGAATATTTTGAAACTCAATAAAGGTAGTGGTTTCATAACACTGTGTACTAAATGTACTGATTTGACTTGGTTGCTTTAAAATCATTTTGTTTTGGGGGCACCTGGGTGGCTCAGTCAGTTGAGCCTCCTACTTGATTTCAGCTCACGTCATGATCATACCATGGTTGTGAGATCGAGCCCCACATCATCAGGCTCTACACTAGGTGTGGAGTCTGCTTAAGATTCTCTCCCTCCCTCTTTCCTTACTTCTCCCGGCATGCATGCTCCTGCTCTTTCTCTCTCTCAAAAAAAAAAAATAATAATTTTGCGATATGAATTTCACCTCAATATATTGGAGTTTTTTTAATATGTAAGAAGAAGGTGTGGACAATAAAATTGCAATGAAAGATGAAGGAGTTAAAACCACGTATCACTAACTACAACAAAAAGGAAACATTAAATTCCCAATATAAAAGACATAGCATTTCATATTAGGCTAAAAATGTCTAGTCACATGTTCTTTACTAAAAAATATATTCACAAAGAACATGTAAAATCTCACTAAGGTGCATTACCCCCATGCCGCAAAACCTCCAGGATATCAGAGGATGGAACGACTGACTGGTCAGTGAGAATGGATAATATCTCCTTTTACAATCAAGTGTTTTCAGTTATCTGCTTTCAACTAAGTTGAAAGAGAAACTAATCAGAGTTGCATTAAGAAAACAATTCCACTGGGGCTCCTGGGTGGCTCAGTCGGTTGAGCGTCCGACTTCGGCTCAGGTCATGATCTCACAGCTCATGGGTTCGAGCCCCGCGTCGGGCTCTGTGCTGATGGCTCAGAGCCTGGAGCCTGCTTCGGATTCTGTGTCTCCCTCTCTCTCTGCCCCTAACCCGCTTGCATTCTGTCTCTGTCTCTCTCAAAATAAATAAACGTTAAAAAAAAAATTTTAAAAAAGAGAAAACAATTCCACTTACAACAGCATCTAAAAGAATAAAATACTTAAGAATAAATTTAAGCAAGAGGTTGTAAGATTTGCACACTGAAAACTACAAAATATTGCTGAAAAAAATTAAAGAACCTAGGCAAATGGAAAAACACCTCACATTCACGGATTATAAAACATCCCCAAAGTGATATACAGATTCAATGCAATCCTTATCAAATTCTCAACAGCTTTAGGGTTTTTGTTTTGTGTGTTGTGTGTTTTGTGTGTGTGTGCGTGTTTTGTTTTGTTTCTTTGTTTGTTTTGTAGAAATAGAAAGGCTAATCTAAAATTCACATGGACTTGCAAGGGACCTTGCTGCAGAACACAGTTTGGCGGTTTCACAATACGTTAAACATAGAATGCGCCATCAATCTTACTCCCAGGAAAGTGAAACAGGTCTTCAACAAAAGCTTGTACGTGAATGCTCACAGCAGCACTATTCTCAATAGCCAAACATGGAATCACTCCAAATGCCCATCAACTGATGGACACACAAAAGGTGGTGTATACACACGAGGGAGTATCACTCAGTCACAAAAGGAGATGAAGTAATGATAACATGCTACAACATAGGTGGGTCTTGAAAATATTAAAGGAAGTGAAAGAAGTCACACATGGAAGACTACACATTGTATGATTCCATTTATATCAGACATCCAGGACAGACAAATCCACGAACAGGAAGTGGATTAGTGGTTGCTAGGGGCTGGGGAGACTGGGGAGGAATTGTTCATTAAGTCACGGCACTGCTTATTAAAAGTATGAGGTTTCTTTCTGGTGTGATGAAACTATTCTGACAGGAGATGGCAGTTATGGTTGTACAACATTGTAAATGTATCAAGTGCAACTCAATTCTACACTTTAAAAAGGATTAAGGGTGAATTACACATCATGTGTATTTTACCACAACTGAAAGAGTGGAATCCCTCACCAGACTGCAAAAATTTAGATTCTGCCCAGTCCCCAGGGCAGTCACAAAGCCTACCTCCTCCTCCTGACCATCCTAGATCACCATGGTCTGTCCAAATTCGCTCCTTCTTTGAACAACCATGAGTCCTAATGCTGGCACAATTCATGTGCAACTCAAATTTTCCTCTGAATTGGACGAGAATTATTCACTTTATTCCTACCACTTTTTTAGTTATTGCAGGATTGTCACTGGAAGGGACACAATGTCACCAAATGAAGGTTATCAAAAAACTTTTTTATGTTCCAGTTTCAAAACTCAGTAAGATCTCAAGATGTGCATTTATCTACAGGGCATCTTTGCCCTACTGTATCAGAGGTCAGCAAACAGCAAACCTTTTCCGTAAATGGCCACCTAGTAAGTATTTTAGGCTTGCCGAGCTATACCATCTCTGTCACAATCACTCAACTCTGCCCCTGTAATATGAAAGCAATCACAGCCACAAATAAATGAGTGCAGCTATGTCCCAATAAAACTTCAGAGACACTTAAATCTGAATTTCATATCACAAAAAAAAATCACTCTTGATTTGTTTCTGTTTAATTTGTGGGCCATAGAGAAAGAGGCAGCAGGCTGTATTTGGCCCATGTACTGTAACTTGTGGACTTGTGCTCTATATCTTCCCTGATGTTAACATTTTTATTTGTATTATTTCATATGAAGGTACAGACATTTTATAATAAACCTCACACAAATTGTATAAACCTCACATAATCACTGTTAGGCAAAACTGTGAGTAAATGAACAACTCACCTGGGATGTGATCATCTTCTGCTGGCCCTGGAAGAGTAGGGATAGCCAGGAGGGCACAGCTGAGAAGGAAAGATGGATCATGAGAGATGCCACCAGCCTACAAAATTCCACGTAGCTGCTGGCAAAGCAACTCTGAAGGGGAGATGCTTTGAGAAGGGACAGAAAGGATGAGAGGAAGGGAGGAGCCGCCCAGGAACAATTCCGGAGGGCTGGGACTCACTCGTTTTTAAATGTAAAAACATTTGTTTTCCGGGTGCCTGGAGGCTCAGTAGGTGGGGCCAGCGACTCTTGATCTCAGGTTGTAGATTTGAGCCCCATGTTGGGTAGAGACGTATTAAAGATAAAATACTTAAATTTTGTTGGGGGCACCTGGGTGGCTCAGTCGGTTAAGCATCCAGCTCTTGATTTTTGGCTCAGGTCATGGATCTCACAGTCCGTGAGTTCGAGCCCCGCTTCAGGCTCTGCATTGACAGTGCAGAGCCTGCTTGGGATTCTCCCTCTCTTCCTCTCTGCCCCTCCCCATGTTGTGCACACACGCTTTCTCTCAAAAAAATTTTTTTTCAAAAAATAAAAAATAAAAAATAAATTTTTTTACTGAGTTACTAACAACGTACACTCTAACCCAGAAAAAGGTAAACAACACAGTACACTAATTAAGCAAATTAAGACAAGCCAAGGAATGGAACATAGGGCTTTCATGAAAACTGATGCTGAGCAAAAAATACTCAAGTCGTAAATTTCATTACACACCAGAGAGTCCCACTAGGTTCTGAAAAAAGGGAGCCAATTTTAAGGGCTGATCTTTTTCGTAAGGGGGAAAAAAAAAGAGGTTGCTTTAACTCAGTTTTAGGTTCTTGAACATATCTTTTGATTAAAAACAACCACCACAAACTGGTTCTGACTTATCCGTTGCCAAAGCAGAAAACACCTGCCAGGGCCATCAGGAGACTCAATGTCTGCTTTTGGTTTTGCCAGCACAAAATGTGTGACTATGAGCGGTCACTGAGACCTAAAGGCCTCTCCTGCAGTACCATCTCGGATTCTATCAGATCGGGACAGAGGGAGCATTCAGCCCATGGCTAGTTGTGCTGTCCTGTGCGAAGGGCTCAGAATCTGGGGGAGCAAAGAAGGAAGGGATGAAAGAGGTGGTTTCCTTCCACTTGGCTGGCAAGCCCTTCCTTCCACATGATGCCCCCACACCTCCCTCGCGAGCAGTTAAGTATTCTCCGTTCCTTTTGCTTCACCCTCCTCTCCCAGCCACAGCTTCCGTCCCTCCTGAAAGCTGGCCCAGAACGAATACCGTCACCCAGTCTGCGAGGATCTCGACACGACGGCGGTCCTGGCAAGGGTCTTTGCTCCTTCCACATTCGCTGTGCATTTCTGCTGCGGTCTGGGGCCAATTGACCGACTGTCCTAGGAGGGATTCCTGCTCTTGGGGGCCCCCTTCTTCCCTCACAATGGCTGCCCTGTTCCAGGAAAACTGAGCATAGCCAGTAAGAATCCATACCCAAGATCGAAAGCTGTTGGCCCTTCCTGTAACCCTGAATCGCAAGCTGGACCTTCTGTAAACGCAAACCGCTGCTACCGAGGGCACAGGCAAGGCTGCAGGGTGCCGGAGGGACCTGGACGCCATCATTCGGGTTCTCCAGAAACAACAATGAATTCCCCCAATGCAAGGCCACGTTCACTTGAAAATTACTCCCCAGGAGAGGTCAGGTCTCCTGCAGCTACTGCGTCGGCCTCGCTCTCAGGTTTGATGCGAGACAGAGGATGAGGCAGAGAACGCATATACTCGTTCGCCACCTGGGCTTCCGTCACCTCCCACAGGACTTTATGCGGTTACCATGGGAACGGGACACTGACCACCGGTTGCTGGGAGGACGAAGACGGACCCGAGTGGAGAAGAACGAGGTCCCCCCCCCCTACCAGGAGAGAAGCGACCACCCACGAGCGCCCCCAGGCCAGTTTCCGCCGGTCTTACCAAGGCGTCGGGCGACCCTTCACCTCGGAGACGACAACACGAACCTTCGCTGGGTAACAAGAGCGGGGACGCGCTGGTTCTCATTCGATGCATACAGACGGAGCAGGACTCACCCCGCGCTCAGGCACCGAGCCGTTTTCTCCGTCACCGGCCCCTCCCGCACAAGGCCTCCGTCCCACCGGTCACCAACAACCACCACAGCCACCCGGGCCTCACCCACCACGTCCTCCCCGCCTGCCCAAAGGCCCTCAGTCGCGAGAGCATCCGGGACCGTCTTCTCGCGATGCCGCGGCGGCGACGTGAACTACCGGGAGGAGCGCAGCGCACATGCGCAGAAGGCCCCGAGCGGCTCCTGCGCCCGAGCAGGAAGCGCGCGCTGAGTTTCTTAAGACGCTGGCGACACCTCCTTCGGAATCAGCCTTCAGGCTTAGGAGACTTTGGGTATAACTGCCCGATTTAGCAAATAAGGTACAAGCAGGAGGCACCGATAGTACAGTTTGACTCATTGCTTATCCGAAATTAATGCTAAGAATCTAAATACACACCTCTTTCATTAATTCCATTTCCCTGATGAATTGGCTCTCCTAGCAGTTTCTACTGCAAAATGCACCTGCAGAATTTCTTCCAGAGACAGTCTGTGTTCTATTTATATTGTAACATCGACAGTATCATACCTCTCTTATTTCGTTCGTCCTTTCAGGCATTCATTGATGAGAAAGCATACCCGATTTAGCATTAGAGTGGTCAGGAATCACCATCCTTATCGCCGAAATTGTTAGGGAAATCTAATTGAAAACAAATCTTCCCCGAACCTAGAAAACTTAGTCACTCAGGCAGAAGACAAAGAAAACAATCTTATCATTGAATGGCGGGATATATCTCAAAGACAATCCAAGGACAGAAAGAAATCTCACCTTTTTATAGCCAAGCAGATACATCCCATCACATAAATGTTGCAAAAATAAACAAGAACTAATTCTCAAGTAGGAGGACTTCACAGCATCCTTTATCACACATTGTTTGCCCTAAATTTGCCTGGTAATTGGGATGACCACCTGTGTTGGTTTATTGGTTTTACAAGTTAAAAAAACAAGCTTCTCCTATCTTTATGACAGGAGGTAGTTTTGCAACTTGGATCAAGACCCCAACCACCAAAGTTTAGGCTTCTACCCTCTCACAGACTCTGGGAGACAGAAGTGCCAGCTCCCTATTACATTTCAAACAGATGGTTCTGAGGTCCTTGGGAAAGACATTCTAGGCTGTAAAACTGCCAAGAGACATTTAAGAAGATTTATGGTTCATTCTCAAAAGCGCAGACAAAGAATTTACAACTTTACAAAGAAAATAATCTACAAGGAGGGATGTCTCTTCATTTTTAGAATATTAAGCCTCTTATTTTTCATTTGTATATGCCCTTACACCACTCTTACCACTTACGGTTAATGTCGAACCGAAGGTCCTAGAAAGGGAAATTAGGCAATAAAATGGAATAAAAGTCATCCAGATCGGAAATAAAGTGGTAAACCTCTGTCAACAGATGACAGGAGCTTCCATGTAGAATAGACTTAGGAACATGACAACAAACATCAGAACTAATCAATGACTGCAACATGGTTGCAGGATACAAGATCAATATATTAATAGCAAATGAACTTCTACACAAGAGCACTGAACAATACAAAAACAAACAAAAAGTTCTTAGAAATGAATTTAACAGGGGCACCAGAGTGGCTCAGTTGGTTAAGCATCCAACCATGGCTCAGGTCATCATGTAACAAATGTGCCCACATTCAAAAGGGACACACGGGCGCCTGGATGGCTCAATCAGTTGAAAGTATAACTCCTGATTTTGGCTTAGGTCATCTCATGATTTATGAGTTTGAGCCCCACTCCAGGCTCTGCACTGCTGATGCAGAGACTACTTGGGATTCTTTATCTCCCCACCGTTTGTCACTCCCACACCCTCTCTCTCACAAATAAATATACTTTAGAAAGGTTTGGGGGGGGGGGAGAGACACAGAACTTCCCTCTCAATGAGATAAGGGTCAAAAGATTTGCAAATATGTTTTGAAACCTTTACACTTAGGAGACCACTTAATAGTGCCTTCATTCATCTCCCCAATGGAAGATGCAGGGGAGCTGGGAGGTTGAAAACATCTCAAACTTCCTGAGGTTTTATTAACTGCAAATGTATGAGCACTACTGCAAGAATTATGAGCATTTGTCTAAGTTCAGCACTGAGCAGGCACTTTAAATAGCGACACTTGCACAGGTGTACTCACATCCCACCTGCAAGAGGTGGTCTATTAAAATGCCGGCGACTTACAGGGGAAGCGAACGTTCTACGAACGCCTTTTTCAAGAGCCAGGATTGTGCATACTGAGAAGTGACAGGAGTGCCTTGGTCACTATCAGTAACGTCTGGAACTAGGAAGGGAAAGGGAATATCCTGCTCAGCTCCTGTATCATAGCCATAGGACCTGGAGAAACATCTGTTACCGTGATTTACATTCAGGCTGTACTGTGAGGCAAGGCATTTCCAGAATTCCTTACCCCATGGTGGGGCACCTCTTGGGTTAATGGCCCAAGAGTACGTAAAAATGAGCAGATGGGGCCACTTGTTGGCCAGAGGCTCCAGTCTTAAGAGGACTACTTGATGTATGGCCACTTATGCAGACTCTTGGGTCCTTCCCTTCATCAGGGACATCCTGGATAAGGGATGAAAGACAGCAACATTCCCCCGAGCTCCATCACATGTCAGGACGATGATGGCATCTGTAAAGTCTAAGAACTGCTACTGCTGCTCATTCAGTTCACTCCAAGGGACAGTCCCGGTAACGGGGTCCGGGAGAAGGGGGACCTCTTCCAGCACCACAGCTGGGCTGAATGAAGCAGAAGAGCACAGCCCCCTTGCAGCTGGGATACGCCAGAGACCCCACGTTTGGCTCCATCATGCAGCAAGGAAGCGTCAGTAACCATGCTTGCAAGGTACTGCTTCCATGACTCAAGCTGCAACAGGCAGTTGGGTATGGAGGGTCCCAGGCTCAGGGAGCCTCTTTGTGCTGGGGCACCAAGTACATGACCAACAACTGATGCTCCAATGGGGATTACTGCAAGGCTGAAGAAGGTAGTTTCTTGCATCAGAAGCCACTGGGCAACCTATGGCCACCCTGAGGGGGTCTACAAACTCCAGGAGGAATGGGGGGATACTGGCAAAGTTTCTGCAGTGAACAAGGGCACTCGCAGGAGTGCCTGTTGACTTCAATGTGGATTGATTCTAGAGCCTGTTTCTGGAGGGTATAAGGTTGGGCCAATTGGAGGTAAAGCCATCAATAAAACTGAGTAAACTGTTTAAGTGGGGAATATGTTCCTTGCAGAACCTAAGAAGAAAAGACACATTTGTACTAACATTCTGTGTGCTAAGAACACACAAGACAAAGAACAGTCAGTAGCAGTTTCATGACAGTGGCAGGGATGCAACAGTCCCAGGTTTACAAGTAATTTTCAGGGAATTTACCTGAGGTGGATCTTTGCAGTATGTATGGGAAAATGAATTATCACAACTTTTGTATGTGAATGCCTGATACATGGGTGAAGGATCTCCTTGGAGGATGAGGTCATAAATATATCATACCTGGGTTCCTGAAGAAATCTGGGTGCAATTAAGGTATCCCCTGCAAAGACTATGTGCAATGGCAAAGAGTTGCTGGGATATCCCATTGGCAGCCTGCTGAAGGTGTACCGGGACCCTTTGGAGGCAAAGGCAAACTATGGCTGAGGCTGCTGAAAACAGCCCTGGGGAGAATGTACTGGCAAAACCCATAGTAACAAAATATGTACTGGTTTTGCTTAGACGAAGGCAGTTATTTCAGGAACAGTGGTGTTGGGTCCCGGACAATTGGCCACAGCATTGAGGATGCGGTGACCCACTGTGACATGCCAACACTATTTCCAGGTTTAAGAACGCAGGAAACTGGAGTACTAAATGGAGAAGCAGCAGTGACAATCACTTCGTCTCTGAACAGGTGGTTACCATGCTTTCAACCGGGACATACAGTACACGGGGGTCCCCTTCTGACAACCCAAATTCTACGTGCCAAAAGTTCATATTCACTCGACTGGAACCTACCATGGGAATGTGCTATAATTAAGTCAATGGGTGCTGTGACCACGGAGAACTCAGGCAATAGTTCTGTGGATTAAGAGAAAACATACCTACTCATCCGAATGTCTCAGGTTGTTCATACTGGCAAAAAAAAAAAAAAAACACAGCCCGGGTGGCTTACAAACAACACAAATTTATTTCTCACACTTCTGGAGGCCCTCAAGTCCAAGACAGATGAAGGGGCCAGCGGTATCAGCACGTGGGGAGGGCCTGCCTCCTGGTTCACAGATAGCTGTCCTTTTGCTCTGTCGTCACTTGTGCAAAAGCCAAAGGCGTTCGCTCAACACTTGTGAGGGCTTCACTCCCATTCAGGAGAGCTCTACCCCCATAACCTCATCACATCCCAAAGGCCCCCCACCTCCAGAGACCATCACCCTGAGGACTGGAGTTCAACATGTAAGTTCTGAGGAAACACAAATATACAGTCACCCGCACTCCATTTTGTAGTCAGTAACTCCTCTAGGATTTTAGGGAATGACATGATCAAATTTAGCCGAAGGCCCAAATACAGCTGTAATTCAAGCCTTGTGTCAAGGTCACGACAGTTCGTCAATGGTGCGTTTCAGCAGATATTGAAGTCATTTCACAAACGATCTAGCGAAGGTACAAAAGCCAGTTAGTGCCCTTTGGTCTTCTGTTGCATAAGTTATCTTCGTATAGTCTGGACTCCCAGCTGGGGCAATCTGTGCACCTTCATTTCTGTCATTTCGTTGTTTCCTTTTCCTGTACCTAAGTTCCTCCCACCCCTCATTCTTTCTTGCCAATTCTTTCCTTTTTGTTGTCACTCAATATACGTCAGGGGCTTTTCTATTTACTCTGATCGCACGTACAAGTTGCCTTCTCCAGAGAGCCTCCAGGGAGGATCTACGGGCTCAAGAGCCCACTCTATGGCAAAGGTTACATTGCTTCACACGGATTAAGGATCCTGGGCTTACGCTGCATTCCAATGATCCCCTTTGCTGTGGCACAGGGTGAGTGCTTTCCCCTCTGAGCAGGAGGATGAGAATTTTTCTCAACAGAGGCAGCAGAGCACAGCTGCAAGGAGCAAGCGTGGCCCATAACCCGGCGGTTGACCGAATGTCTTCTGTAGGGCTGCCTGTTTGCAACAGTGCAGGTTTCTTCTCTCTCATTTCTCTCTCTACAAATTCCCTCACAGTATTTTGGGTTTCTAGCCATGTGAAGTGACAGCTTTCAGTTTTTGTCTCCATCCTGACACCTGTGGCGGGGGCCTGGGTGGTTACAAGGGAAAGGACCACAGCCCGGCAGTCCGCCTCACAGACAGCTGCCGCTTCCTCCAAGGAATGCCAGCCAATCTCTCTGGGGTCACGGTTCACAAACAATAAGGTCATTCTGGCACGGCAAGGGTCAAGGCCATCAAGCCCCAGGACTCCAAGGTTAGTCCTTTGGTGTACTGAAAAAAACCCCAGCGCCTCGCCAACCCCAGGTTCACTGGCTGAGGGTTCTGCATTAGCGCAGTTGGGGTCCTTCCTCTGGCAATTTGGAAGACGTCCCCTTTTGTTTCTCATCAGCCTCCGGGCCACAGGACACCACAGGTGTGCACCTCGGCACCCTCGGGCGTGAGGCGTGTGTGCAATGGCAGCAGGGGAAGGAGCAGCAAGAGATGGGGACGGCCGCTGCCCGCACGTGAACGACAGCTCATCACACACCGAGGGCCGTGCACGCTTCATGCTCCCAGGGCCAGGGCAGCCCAGCTTTCCAAACTCTCACCAAGGGCCATCTGCATGCCCTCCCCGCTGGGGCCCAATGACAAAAACTGGTAAGCGTGGCTACCCTCAACAGCCGGGGACGGCCAACACACGGTACACAGTAACCGGAGAGTGCCAGCCAGACCCTCGACCCTGGGTAGCTGGGGCTCAAATGCTCACCAGTTAAAGTGCGGTGTCGTCACTGCCTCTACAGGCGGAGCGTCTCACGACACCAGCCAAACTGACTGAACCCGGAGCCCAGGCACCTGG